TAGGGAAGAACAGGGCACATGCCCAACAGTCTTGCCAGATCAACTCCAATGGGGGAGAGAAGTTTCTTAAAAATGAAAATGGGGGTGCTGACATCAGAGGAAGGGAGGATGAGTGCCAAGGGACAAAACTACAGTACTTATAAAAATATATTTAAAATAATAAAGTATAACATAGGGAATATAGTCAATAATAATGTAATAACTATGGTGCCAGATGGGTACTGACTAGATTATCAGGATGATCAGTTAGTAAACTATATGTCTAATCACTCGGGTGTACACCTGAAATTAATATAATATTGTATGGCAGCTGTCATTGAAAATTTTAAATAATTTAAACTAAAAAATAAAGAAATTTTAAGTCAATAATTATTTAAAAAAAAAAAAAAAACTACAGCACTTGCTACCCTGCAGGGTGGGATCCTGCATGTGGCTCATTTACAAGCTGGAATACAACTGCAAAAACCCATGACTCCTGCCCCCATTTACCTCCCCGTGTCACTGAACCTCCCAGCGATGATGATGTGTTAGTCCATTCACTGACCCTCCCTTTTTAGAGGGACCCTCTTGCTGCCTCCCAACCCCATCTCCCAGCGTTCACAGCATGGCCTGCTCCTCAGATGACACGAGGCCCATCAGCTCTGAGAAGAGGGAACGTTAGTCTGACTTTGGCCTTCACACCTGGACCTGTGCTGTATCAGAGGGAGCCCCTGAGAGCAACGTATGAAAAACTGGAGGATAGTTTGTTATTTTCCCATAAGGCTCTAAGAGGGAGTGGCCTGCTCCTGTGAGCTGTGACAGTGGCCCTCGTCCAACGCTGGTGCTTAATGCTCACCTCTGTCCAGGGCTTGACAGAGGAGCGAGGCTTGGAGGGCAGTTGGGCTCAGGCTTCATGCTGAGGAAAAACCTCAAAGTTATATGTTTGAGGTTATCACAAAAGGAGATTTTTCAAAAAGTTCCAGAGATACAGTGCAAGTATTAAAAGAAAAAGGTATATCAGGCAGGATTCTTAGTTACAACCAAGTGAAATCCATTCTAGGCAGTTTTTTTAATCTTTTTATGTCAGGGTTACAAATATATAAGCATTCTCAAAACGTGCAAGTGATCCTGACCTCTCTGAGGTTCATTCAATATCAAACTGAGTGATCTTTGGGCAGGCTCAGCTGTGTACTTATTAGCGCTGATAATCTTAGTGTTTCCAAGTATTGCTAGATACTGATGAACAGGTGTTTCCTGTAATTTGATAAGATGCAAATAAGAATGATAATGATAACAATTTTACCTTATTTACTAGAGGCCCAGTGCACAAAATTTGTGCACTAGGAGGGGGTCCCTCAGCTCGGCCTGCACCCTCTTACAGTCCAGGAGCCCTCAGGGGATGTCCGACTGATGGCTTAGGCCTGCTCCCCTATGCTACCCGCTCATCCTTAGCGCTACCGTGGAGGCGGGAGAGGCTCCCACCACTGCTGCTGTGCTCGCCAGCCGTGAGCCTGGCTTCTGGGAGCACACTGACCACCAGGGGGCAGCTCCTGCATTGAGCGTCTGCCCCCTGGTGGTCACTGTGCATCATAGCAACCGGTTGTTCTGCTGTTTGGTCGATTTGCATATTAGCCTTTTATTATATAGGATTACTAATGAACTTGTGCAGCTCACCAGAAATGTTAAGTACACAGCAGAACGTTGGGATTGGATACTTGCATCCCATTTAATTCTGGGCTCTATTTCCAAAATGCATTTGTGAGGCTGAGGACAGTAGAGGCAAGAAATAAAACTGACAGGAGGAAAAATAGTGTGATTCTTCTTTTGTTCATTTCATAAATATTTATTAAGCACCTATTGTGTGCTGGGGATAAAATAACTTGGCCTCTTTTACATTTATTCCAAAATGTAAAACAAGCATTCAGTATGCGGTTCATTAATTATTAATTTTTTTGAAGACTATAATATATTGAAGTTAAATTGGTTTCTTTGTAATTTCTCTCCATTTGCTTTCGTTTTACTATATACAGCATAGGGAGCAAATACAATCCTTCTCAACAATAAATGTTCAAATTTTTGGAGGTAATAATTTTTTTTCCAGCTTAGATTTGTCTTTTGGAGGCCAGTACCTAAGTTATTGCAAGGATTCTGCCAGGGGGGATACACTCCCCTTTGTTACACTGCAACGTGTAACCCAGTGTACAGCAACTAGAAGAGGGACGTAGCAAGAGATCATTACAGAAGATTCAGCTCATGATGACCCACAGAGCAAAGGTGCTCACTTTTGCTCTGCATCTTCAGGGTCGGCTTCTTGGATCAAAGGATTTTTCCTTTTCTTTTTCCTCTTCCAACTACCAAGATAGAATTGACACAAGACCAGGATTCTTGAGCAGAGTCATAGGAAAGGAAGAGAGGCAGACCTGACAATGAGTATTGCAGCTCTGGCCGGGAGGAAAAAGCTGGGGAGCGATGACACCCTGTCAGACACCTATGAATGTGAAATTAGAAGCCCCCCCCCCTTTTTTTTCCTGCTGGCGATAATGCCTGGAATTTACATGTTATGTTAATTTGACCTCATTTGCATAATGCCTTATTATAAAGAATTGCTTAGATGTTGCCTAATTATCTTCTTCCTCTTGCTTACTGGGAGGCTGAGAGTGCCAAGGGAATGAGTGACCTTTATTTGGCTGAGGCAGAAAAATCTGAGATGACTTTTTATTGTCACAGACCTTTGCTGTCATGTTTTTTTGCATATTTATTTTTCCCTGGTCCACAAAAACAATTTAGATTGTACAGTTCCTTTTGTATTTGTCCATGTGCATATGTATTTTCCTTGTAGATATAGTGTGCATACTTTCCATCACTTTTTCATTTGATGTTACACAATTGTTGCTTTCTTCGCTTCTCTAGCATATTCTTAATTCTAGCTGTTCATAGATGCCCAGTATTCCACTGAATAATCATTGGTAAATTGTCATGCTACGGCTCTTCAGTACTATACGCAGTATCATAATGACAATTTCTGTGTATAGAGCTTATTTCTCCTGTTAGATTATTTTCCTACGAGTGCCCGTAACTCAGCTTCCCATTAGGAAAAACCGGGTTTTATGATTTAGGGTTTTCACCTCTCATTCTTGCACATCAATAACTACTTTAGCATGAATTTTTATGCATCCTACTTTCTCTGTATGGCAGCCTTACGAATGTATCAGTCCAGACACGTTTATGTAACGTTCTACCACTCAAGCCCCAAGCTTCCTGCCATGACTGTCACTGTGACATGTAGGAAAGCAGCAGCCCAGACTATGGAAATACTATCACAGAGAGAGTGTAACGGTCAGAAAAAGGCACTTGAGCCTGAAGGTCTGAAGTTCCTCTATATTATGTCCTAGATTTTCTTTGAGTTTGCATCTTTCCTCACCAGCTCATAACTCATTCTATACTTAGTCATCTCATATATTTTATTCACTTTTCCTACTTTAGTGACATGTCTTACTATTTGAGCAGACCTTTCCTTCTTAGTGTTTAGATTATTGTTGTATTTGTATCTACCTCCTAGTCATTACTCATCTTTTAAACTTTTCTTTATATCTGCAAGTTGGTTCCTAAGTTCACTGAGAGCTCTTTTAGTCTCAGCATACACCAGCCATATGACCCACTGATTCCAGTCTGGAGTATTTAGAGAAGTGCTCGCACGAAACATAGACGGGAATGTTTATAAGAGCTTTATTCATAACCATCAAAAACTGGACACACCCACATGTCCTTCAGTAGGTGAATGGGTCCTCTGTGGTGCGTGACATAATGGAATATTACGCAGCAATGGAAAAGGAATGGCCTATTAACACACAACAACAACTTGGGTAAATCTGAAAATAGTTATGCTCAATGAAAAAAGTCGGTCTCAAAAAGTTTCCTACTCTAGGATTCCTTTTTTTGCAACATTCTTGAAAAGAGAAAGCTATGGAGATACAGAACAGATTTAAAAATTAATGTTAATTTTAAAAATATATCAAATAGCCCCGTTTTATCAAACTATGTGGTCATGTGTCTTTTGACAAGTTACTTAACCTCTCTAAATCTCAGTGTATTTACTTGTAAAGTGTAGAAAACACTCTTTATCTTGAAGTGGTGTTATAAGGATGAAATAAGATGTTACAAAGCATGTACCTGACATACAGGTGACTCCTTTTTTTCTTCCCCCTGGTGATGTTTCTCACTGGGAGCAGATTCATTTTGTTATTATCATCTCTGTGTGTTTTTTAAAATATGCTTTTATTGATTTTTTAGAGAGAGAGGAAGGGGGAGGGATAGAGAGATAGAAACATCTATCGATTGGCTGCCTCCTGCACACACCCTACTGGATATCTAGCCCACAGCCCAGGCATGTGCCCTGACCAGGAATCAAACTGTGACCTCCTGGCTCATAAGTGGACACTCAACCACTGGGCCAACACTGGTCAGGCCGTATTTTGTTATTTTTATCATCCTCAAATTTCCAGTTTTGCCTCAGACAAGGGAAAGAAATTCAAGATATAATTTTGCCTTGATAAATATCAAATTCAATTTGATAACTACCAATTAGCGAGTACCTCTGTGAAGGGGGGAGCAGGAATGGTATTTGGGGAAAGGTATTGCAGCAGTCTTACAGGCGTCTGGGTATTGGGTCAGTGTGTTCATCGGACTCATCAGTGTTGGAAATGTTTTATAATTAATACTTTGTTCTTTAAACACATAAATACTAATTTTAAAATTTAAACGTGAGAGCCAGCGCCTCTCCTCCACCCACTCTATCCTCATCAATCACCATAAAGAATGAGTTATTGGGTTTTTCACTCAGAAAATGTAATTACTTTGCAATGAAATGTTAATGCTATGTTCTATTCTTGAAGTCACTTGTTCCAGTGACAAAGCTCTGTCCTAATAGAGTTGCTAAATTTTCTTGTAAGTCATCCTTTTAATATTTTATATTCGCCAGATGAGCTGGTGATGAGCTGGGGCTTCTTTGTTTTTACAAACAGGACCATCTCAGCAAAAACCCACCATCAGGCTGTGAACTTCAACATCTTCGAGGGCATGGTGTGCCATGGGGTGCCCCTCGTGACCATTTCCAGGGGCAAAGTGGTATATGAAGCCGGGGTTTTCCGTGTCACAGCAGGAGACGGGAAGTATATTCCTCGCAAACCATTTGCTGAGTATGTTTACCAAAGGATCAAGCAGCGGGACCAGGTGAGTGTGCCTAAGTGACTGTTACCGGGGCGGGGCTGTCACCCGCTCCTGGATGTTGTCGGTGTTGTTGTCAATACACTCAATTGAATATATTCCTGGGACATCAGAACTGATAGGAAAGGTTCCAAACAAATACCAATTTTCCAAGGAAGCATCATTATGGGATGGTTGCATTTTCCCTTATGGATTGATGTCTATTCAGGGTTTCCTGATGGACCACGTTGGGTTTTCCCAGGCAAGTTCAGGACCTCTGGGGGCCTTTGGCAATTGGGTTAGTCAGGGCATTCTCAGAAGCAGACTCCCTATGAATAAAGGTCTGACTTTTTTTTATTAGGGAGGACACTTGTGAGAGAACACGGGAGGGAGTCAGGAAAGTCTGGGAGAGCCTCAGACTACAATTCAAGTTTGAATCCAGTGAGAGAACGAAGGAGAGTAAAAGGGGTACAAGCATCCTAGATGGCCACACAGACTAAGACAGACTGAGCAAGGTCTTTAGGCAGCGATTGAACCAAGTCTCCTGTCAATCAGCTGCATGGCATGATGTCATTGGCTTGGAAAAGCTGTGGGAGGCATGGCCTTCCTTCAAACAAGGGAATGGAGTTCAGAGTTTAGCAATGGCCCCTTGAAAAATTATGCTCCCTGTAGTTGAATGTCTGACCACCAGAGCAATGGTGGAGTTTTGGGGTCAGGTAGATCTACACTTTTTTAGGCTTGCTAGTGCATTATTGGTTTTGCAATAACAATAAGTAATAGTTAATCATTACTACTATATCTTGTTCTGAGCACTTGCTATCTGCCAGGCACTGTACTAGGTAGTTTATATTCATTATTTTACTTACTCTGTACAACAAACCATGAGTTGATATTAATATCCCCAACTTACATAGAGATCTGAGTCTCAGCAAGATTAAATATTATTCCCTGGGCAAAGCATTAAATAAACATATGAGCTGGGATTTGTGAGAGGGCCTTTCTTATTCCCACTGTATCATGAGATCTCTGTAAAGCCAGAGAAGAAAATTATTGTGAAACTCCAAACATGGGGGAAATTGATTGTTTTTTAAAATGTTGGTGTGGAAATAGTATCAAAAAAATGGGTGAAATGAGGCTTGGGCATTGTCTGAAGACATTTTTCTCTTCATTAGGCAAAGATAATTTTATATGCAGAAGAAAAATATCACATTAAGATTAAGAAAAAATAGTTGTTAGAAATTCTTGATTTTAAATTCACATGAGGGCATTACAGCTCTTGCTTTGGTTTTCATGTAAAATATTCAGATTTCCTTGTGAATGAGGATACACGTGTTTGAAGGCAAGCAGAACAGCGCATATCATTTTTCCTGTTCACCTGCTTTCTTCTGAAGAATATTAATCACTTACCATTCCAGACTACCAAAGCACAGACTCTAGTTCTCAACCTTCTGGCCCTTTAAATACAGTTCCTCATGTTGTGACCCAACCATAAAACTATTTTCGTTGCTACTTCATAACTGTAATGTTGCTACTGTTATGAATTGTAATGTAAATATCTGATGTGCAGGATGGGCTTAGGCCACCCCTGTGATAGGGTCGTTCAACCACCAAAGGGGTCGCGACCCACAGGTTGAGAACCGCTGCTCTAGTGTTTCCCAGCTCTAGAACTTGGCTGGTCTCCTGGCTAGAGTGTTAGTTCCTTGAGGGCAGCATCTTACTAGATGTACCAGTTAATAATGCGGATTCTTTTCAGTAGATGGCGCTACACATATGTTGATTTATATGCCATTTGATATGTATGCTATTTTGTTGTATTGACAACAAGCTTCAAAACTTCATATGTCAAATTTTCTGAAGGTGTTAACATCATAGATATTTTCATGCTTAAAAATTTCGAATTTCGTGCCAAAAAAAGGAGCATTTGCGGGAAGTTTTAATTCATTACTTTATTTTGAAGAAAAGTGCTGCTGAAAGTTATCGTATGCTTCAGGAAGCTTATGGTGAACATGTTCCATCTCAAGATACTTGTGAACACTGATTTAAACGCTTTAAAAGTGATGATTTCGATGTGAAAGACAAAGAGCGTCCAGGTCAACCGAAAAAGTTGGAAGACCAACAATTACAAGCTTTATTAGATGAAGATGCTTCTCAAATTCAAAAACAACCTGCAGAAAGATTAAACGTTGCTCAGCAAACAATTTCCAATCATTTACAAGCAATGGGAAAGATTTAAAAGGAAGGAAAATGGGAAGTGCTTTGTATCTGAGAAATCTCATGCATCTGGGAGAGGGGTTTTATTCCCTCCATTTCATAGATGAGTGAGTAGGCTGGGGGGGAGGGGGGAAGTCTGCCAGTTTCCTACAGCTAGTGAATGGCGAGGCTAGAATTCATACTTAGGTCTGTCTTGATCCAAAGCTCACATTGTTGATCCCTACAACATATTAGTTTGAGTGGTCATCAACTGAAAAAGAGACAAAAGGAAAACTGAAAAGTCATCAGTAAAATGTTGCTTCAGCAGTACGAAAGAAAGTCCTTTTTGCATGGAATTGTGACTGGCAATGAAAAGTGGATTTATTTTGAGAATCCCAAATGCACGAAATCATGGGTTGATCCAGGTCAACCATCGGCATCGACTGCAAGGCCAAATCTCTTTGGAAAGAAGACAATGCTCTGCTTTGGTGGGATCAGGAAGGTGTGGTGTATTATGAGCTTCTAAAACCTGGTGAAACCATTAATACTGATCGCTAACAATAACAAATAATCAATTTGAACCACGCTTTGATCATAACATGACCAGAATGGGCCAGAAGACACAGCAAAGTAATTTGCTTCATGATGATCCACCATCACACACTTCAAAACCAGTTAAAGACATGTTAAAAGATCTTGCCTGGGAAGTATTAACCCACCCTCTGTATTCACCAGACCTTGCTCCTTCAGATTACCACTTACTCTGATTGATGACACACACACCTTCTGAGCAGCACTTCAAAATATATGAGGAAGTGGAAAATTTGGTCTCTGAATGATTTGCCTCAAAACAAGAAAAGTTCTATTGGGACGGTATCCACAAATTACCTGAAAGATGGGGGAAATGTGTAGCTAGCGATGGACATTACTTTGAATAAAGCACTTTTGATGTTTCTCTTGAAATTATCGTGTCTTCTTTGGATTACAAAATCCGTATTATTAACCAGTTAATAGTTAATCTGTATTATTTTTAACTGGTTAATAATTAATCCGCACTACTAACTGATTAATAATTAATCCGCATTATTAACTGGTTAATATTCAATGCAGACTATTAACCGGTTAATAGTCAATCCGCATCAGTAACCGGTTAAAGTTAATCCGCATTATTAACCTGTTAATAGTTAATATGCATCATTAACCGGTTAACTATTAATCCGCATTGTCAACCGGTTAACAGTTAATCCACATTGTTAACCGGTTTGGATGATAAATTACAGGTCCAGGCTACGTTGAAAGATACATCATGCAGTTTGGCTTGAAAAATAAACCAGGAGAGAAACACAGAGACCGAAGACCTGAAAGGGCGGATGTGGACAGAGAGTGGGGCACTAAATGCGTTTCAAGTTTCGGGGTGGATGGGCTCCCAGTGACCACAATGCCCAGCGCTGGGGAGCAGAAATGGAAGGCTGGCCTTCATTTCGCCTTGTCAGAATCCTCAAGGTGATGACAGGATCTAGGCTGAAGAAAAGCACTGAGTCAGTAGAGAGCCGAAATGGCAGTCCCACAAAGCAACTAAGCAGACACAGAAAGTGGACAGGGGCTCAGACTGGTGAGCGAAGGGCAGGGGTCCTCCCACCCGAGTACGAGCGCTGGGTGTGCTCAACACTGTGTGTCAAGATTCACAGCTGTAGAGACAGTCTCTGTTTCTTTTCTTTGCTTTATCCTCTGTGCCTGGGGCTGTGTATGCGCATTAAATATCTATTGAATGAGTGAAGGAAGTGCTTTGTATCTGAGAAATCTCATGCGTCTGGGAGAGGGGTTTTATTCCCTCCATTTCATAGATGAGTGAGTAGGCTGCTGGGGAGAGGGGAGGCCTATTAGCCTGCCCATTTCCTACAGCTAGTGAATGGCAAGGCTAGAATTCTTAGGTCTGTCTTGATCCAAAACTCACATTGTTGATCCCTACAACATATTAGTTTGAGTGGTCAAAATAAGGCCTACAGGAATTTGTTATGGTTTACATACATATGATTTACCTGTACAAACAAATGTATGTAGTTGTAAAGAGCCTATTATATCATAGGCATTATTCTAACTGCTATTTATATTTAATTCTCTCCACATTTAATCCTCACAGCCACCCTATAGAGTAGGTGCTCTTCTTATCCCCAGTGTACAGCTAAGGGCACTGGAGTGCAGTGTTGAGTCATGTGCCCAGGCCATCTGGTTTCGAGCCCACGCCCTTGATCACGGTGATTTGCTACTTCTTGGCTTGTCAGTAAATTTGTGTGCGTGTTTATCAATAGTATGGTTTAGTCACTTCTCATGAGCTCCTGTGTTTATAAAGCCCAGACCTCAGCTCTCCTCACACACTGCATGAATTCTAGCTGGCCAGCCAGGGTTTGGCTGCAAAGTTGGTCGCTGGAGATGTGAGATTCTGTGGGAGGCCTGTTACACACAGTGGCAATTGGGAAAATGAGGAGAGAAAAAAAACAACATTGAAATTGCTAGAATCTGAACCGGAATGTTGAGAGTCTTAGGAGAGGTAAACAAAGCACTTTGGGAATACTGATGTCAAGAATGACCGAAAGGACAAGCTGGTACTAGAACTCAGAAGGGTGTGAGGATAAGGCAGAGGCTCCGGGGAAAGTTGCAGTGGAAAGAATGATCATTTCAAAGTGCTCCCTGGGCCTTTGTCTGATGCAGATGAACTCCGGCAAAGAGTGGGCGACGCAGGTACTGGAGGTTGCTGGGCATTTCTGTGAAAGGGCAAGGGTTGGGAGACACATGATAAGTTCATGAGATTTCTTTTTGGTCTAACAATTTATGAAGGGAGCTGCACTTAGCTTTGAATTCAAGAAGTCAATAAACAAGTCACAAGAGAAAAACGAAATGTTCTTTTTCAGACTTGCACACCTACCCCCGTGGAGCGTGAACCCTATAAGGGAGAAGTTGTCCTCCTGAAATAGACACAAAAGACTCCACTGCTGGGACCAGGAAACAGACCTACCCCTCACTGTGCTGTTGGTAAGGGACGGTGGACAAGGAAAGTATTCCAGCATGACAACATCTGAAATTAGCATCTCTCTCTCCATGACCATTTGAAGAGTTCATGGTCAAGGTCAAAGGCTTCAAAGGGACATGAGACTCAAGGACAGTTTAGCCAAGGGAAGAATGATAAAAGACCTCTTGATGCAGAACACTGAGATGAGCCTCCAGATTGAAGGAGGCCTTGGGCCAGCTAGAGATTTATTCTCTGAGATGTTAGGAAGTAGTCACCAGAGCCATGGAGAATCCAACGTGAGCAAGAAGCGGTAGCTGGTGACACAGTAGACCTGTCATTGAGGAAAGTTGGCACCACTTAAAACAGGGAGGACAATTTCATGGTCAAAATTTATAATTTGATTTAAGACTTTATCTGGAAAAGATAAATCTTCATATTGTGAAGGCAAATATATTCTAGAACTTGAAGTGAATGAAAAATGAGTCATGTGGCTTTGGGGGGTATAATTTTTCAGGAAAATTATTTGATAGTATGTGATATATTTTATTTCACACATAATTTTTGGAATAATATTATAGATATGGTCATTTTTTGGAAAAGAAAATATTTTAGTGCTTCATCAATTTTTCTCTTAGTATTTTGACATCCAGAACTTTCTTTTTTAAAGTATCTTGCACATTTTCTTTTTCTCTCTCTCTCTTTTTAGTAGTTTTCTGGTCTTGCAAAGCCAGGTATCTATTTGACAGTGGCTTTGCTGTGACTTAAGCAGCTCTCTAACGTATCTTCCACTAACTTCATGAAACCAACACATTTTCTCAGTTTTGCAATTTCACTAGACTAAATTGTTAAAGCTTGTGATACATTTTCAGATGTTCCAGAACAGTGCAATCTTCAAAACTCTTACATAAAAGGTTGACATGATGGATAGATGTTTGTGTTCATTAGGGACACTGTCGGAGGAGTAGTGTTGTACACCCCCAGTTAGCCTACACATTTGCACATGATGATAACCCAAACTTCCCTCCACAAAACCCATGACTTGAGCAACGCAGCTTTGTGCACTCTGGGCTGTGATCGCATTACTGAGGGTCCTGAATCTTTCTCAATGCTATGTAGCCAAACTTTTCAGCTTTTTTTTGTCATTCCCTAACTATTGAAATTATCCTGGCAATCCAGGAAGACTGTGTCAAAAATTCGGAGGAAGATTTAGCAGGAGGAAGAAAGTGTATTGAATGCTATGACCTGCTTTTGCAGCATTGGCAGGAGCAGGGTTAGTGTTTACTTTTATTATAGCATTTCTGGAGGGTTAGGCCTGCGCTCCGCATCTGTTTGTGAGAGCGAATGTTTTGCTGAGTTCCTTTTATTCGGTTCAAAAGCAAAGTCAGAGGAAAGGATGCTGCTGTTCCCATCACAGTTAACCGCTGTCAGCCATGGGAAGCCAGCCTCATCTCAACTCCCCGAGAGCCTTTTGAAAGAATAATCGCTCTAGGCCTCTTTGGTTTCCTTTCAGAAGCAATCACGGTGGGTCTCACTGTGACTTTGCTGCTATGTAAGATGGAAGACATAAATGAATGTTATTGTGATGGAAAGTCTGTGTGAAAATTCACTGATGATACTTCAAAACGTCATCTTTGCTTGTACCAGATTTCTTACTGTGAATTTCTAAAGATCACTTTTTTTTGTTTGTTTAAAGTTTTTTTCAATGGAGGCATTTGTTTAAAAATAGCAAACTGTGATCTTACATTCTGTTGTCATTAATAAACATTTAGGTCTTCATTGTATATCCTGTGGTCTGCGGTATGTGTGTCCTTTTCTAGTGAGTAGCATGGGGACTCTGGGAGGTTGTTTTTTGATTCAAAAGCATAATTTCCTGTGTGACATTTGCTTCAGCAACTCCTGGAAATTAGGTCCCTCAGCAAACACCATGTAATCAAACTGGATACTCAACCTTAGGATAACCCCAAGGTAAATGATCCAGTCACACTGACGAAGGCAGGATCTGAGAGAATTCGGTGGAATCAAAATGGCCTGAAGATGCCCTATCTTCCCTCTGCTGCCTGGTCTGCACTGGGACCACCCTTCTGTGTGTGCAGAGAAGCTGAGCTACATTTCTTCTCCTATGACCTAGGTGAACTGGTCAAGAGGGATTATTTATTTATTTTTATTTTCAAAAAATATATTTCTGTTGATTTCAAAGAGGAAGGGAAAGGGAGAGAGAAATAGAAACATCAATGATGAGAGAGAATCATTGATCAGCTGCCTCCTGTACACCCACACTGGGGATCAAGCCTGCATCCCAGGCAATTGACCTGTGACCTCCTGGTTCGTAGGTTGATGCTCAACCACTGAGCCACACTGGCCAAGCAAGAGGAATTTTTTTAAAAATGTGGATCAGGGGAAAACTCAGGGCAATTATGCTCTCATTGCAGGCCCATTGGCCCCTGACTCACTCACTGAGATCAGGGTGCATTGGCACATTGGACAAAGGGGACTAGGAATAGGGTAGTAGGAATCCAGCTACTCGGCTGTAATTTGTATTGAACACACGGGAGAAAGGACAGTGAACTACACCTAAGGGAGAACCACGGCTCTTTTTTTCTCGGGGACGAAATACCTTAAAATGCTTGATTCCTTTTCTCTCTGCTTCGGTTGACAATAGAAACTCTGCAAGAAGACGACTGAATCCTCAAGAAAAAAATAATTAAATTGCTTTCTTATTTAGAAGCCACTTCTCACTCATCCTTTAGTATTCAGCTGAAATATCACCCCCTCTCTGAGGCATTTCTAGCTCTAACAGGACGGGGTACATCCCACTTTTATGTTCCTCCATAGCAGGGCCCACCAACCCCCCATCACAGCACCATCATCCCATTGTATAACTGACCTGCTTTACTGTCTGTCTCCTCCAGGGAACTGACAGCTCATGCAGGGCAGGGCTTGTCTGGTTCACAATTATTTCCCCAGCAGGTAGCTGAGGGTCTGGCAATTGATTGGCATTCAATGGATACTTCATTTTTAAATAGAGGAGTAGGTGGAGGAGTTCCTACTGAGCTCCTATATTGGTTAGTAAGAGATGATGTTAGTAAGCATTCTTGACAAAAATGGATACAAATATTATGGAGCATTTTGGTGTAAGAAAGCTCTAAATGTGGTTCTCACAACCTTCTGGCCCTTTAAATACAGTTCCTCATGTTGTGACCCAACCATAAAATTATTTTCATTGCTACTTTATAACTGTAATGTTGCTACTGTTATGAATCGTAATGTAAATATCTAATATGCAGGATCGTCTTAGGTGACCCCTGTGAAAGGGTCGTTCGACCGCCAAAGGGGTCTCGACCCACAGGTTGAGAACCGCTGCTCTAAATGAAGAATACAGATTCATTATCAATGTGATAGATCTATTTGGGAGGATGAAGTAGCTATAGGATTCTGCACTAACAGAGTCATCTGAAATGATTATGAAGACCCCTTTAGTGCTTTTATTAGGCTTTGTCACAAATTTTGCAGAAACATAGCCTAAGTGATGGTATATAAGGCAATAGGAGAGCATGATTTAAGCTATTAATATCTTTTTCAGGATCACCTCTGGTATACGGAGTAAAATCTCTTTGTCACAGCACAACTGCACTTTCCAGGCCTGGACCAAGGATAGATGGACTGAGTGGCGTTCCTTCTCCACAGTCGCCTTCCATTGCCTCCTTCCTCTCATGTACTGGGGAGAAAAAAAAAGTGGGGGCTCTAAACTTCTATTTATTAGCTGTGAGGCCTTGAGTAATTTTTTTTAAAAGTATTTTTTATCGATTTCAGAGAGGAAGGGAGAGGGAGAGAGATAGAAACATCATTGATTCAGAGAGAATCATCCATCATGCCCTCTCCTGCACGTGCCCTCCAGCCATCGGGGAAATGAACTTGAAGCAGTGTCAAGCCCATTCCTGGGCTTTCTCACATCCGTCAGCTCCTCTTGCCATCGGCTCTCCGCATGATATAGAGGGGGGTTGACTCCATCACCCAGTGTCAGTCCCAGCTCTGTACCATTTGCTTGTGTGGCTCCTGCAAGTCACAGTCTGCTCTACACCTCGTACTGTTATGAATCGTAATGTAAATATCTGATGTGCAGGATGGTCTTAGGCGACCCCTGTGAAAGGGTCGTTCGACCGCCAAAGGGGTCTCGACCCACAGGTTGAGAACCACTGCTCTATATGAAGAATACAGATTCATTATCAATGTGATAGATCTATTTGGGAGGATGAAGTAGCTATAGGATTCTGCACTAACAGAGTCATCTGAAATGATTATGAGGATCCCTTTAGTGCTTTTATTAGGCTTTGTCACAAATATTTTGCAGAAACGTAGCCTAAGTAATAAAATAAGGCAATAGGAGAGCATGATTTAAGCTATTAATATCTTTTTCAGGATCACCTCTGGTATACGGAGTAAAATCTCTTTGTCACAGCACAACTGCACTTTCCAGGCCTGGACCAAGGATAGATGGACTGAGTGGCGTTCCTTCTCCACAGTCGCCTTCCATTGCCTCCTTCCTCTCATGTACTGGGGAGAAAAAAAAAGTGGGGGCTCTAAACTTCTATTTATTAGCTGTGAGGCCTTGAGTAATTTTTTTTAAAAGTATTTTTTATCGATTTCAGAGAGGAAGGGAGAGGGAGAGAGATAGAAACATCATTGATTCAGAGAGAATCATCCATCATGCCCTCTCCTGCACGTGCCCTCCAGCCATCGGGGAAATGAACTTGAAGCAGTGTCAAGCCCATTCCTGGGCTTTCTCACATCCGTCAGCTCCTCTTGCCATCGGCTCTCCGCATGATATAGAGGGGGGTTGACTCCATCACCCAGTGTCAGTCCCAGCTCTGTACCATTTGCTTGTGTGGCTCCTGCAAGTCACAGTCTGCTCTACACCTCGTGTCTGCGAGATGTGGCTGGCTCTGTAGGCAAGTGCACAAGGGCAGGGACTCTGGAATCAAATTGACTGGGTTCAAAACTTGCTTCTGTCACCACCTGTGCAACATAGGCAAAATTCTTAAAGTCTCCCAGCCTCTAGTGTCCCACCTGTAAAATGGGAGAATAAAAACACTTACTTAGAGTTTGGGGGAGAATGAAATGGAATAAGACGTAAGCATTTAACACTGTGCTGAGTGCAAAATAAGCCCTCAATCAGCTATCGGTATTTCTTTGCACTTGACCTCTTTATTGCTCTACGCTGAGGCAGAATGAAGCCGGCTAACGCCACCTGAGGAATTTCCATCTCCTCTGGGTCACACTTCATGGCCATTGTTGCTCAATAGTACAATTACAAAACCACTCGCCCGGCTGGCGTGGCTCAGTGCTTGAGCGTTGACCTATGACTCAGAAGGTCACGGTTCAATTCCTCGTCGGGTCATGTGCCCAAATTGCAGGCTTGATCTCTAGTGTGGGGCATGCAGGAGGCAGCCTATCAATGATTCCTGTTTATCATTGATGTTTCTATCTCCCTCTCTGTCTCCCTTCCTCTCTGAAGTCAATATGTTACAGAAAACCGGAGAAGAACCAAGCAACGCTTAGAGAGATGGAGTTACATTTATTATTATTACACGCACGGGCCCAGAGGAAAATGTCTCTCAAATTCTGGGCCCCGTCACACAGTAAGTTTCTTGTATTTATACCTTTTTACCTTCTTTGTCTCCCAAATATGGGGTTTTTCCGGTTCCCTTTGCAAGTTCTTAAAGGGCCCTATGTGCTGGGGCTTTGAGATCTCAACCAAAGGCTTGGCCTGGTGCCAGCACTGATAACTTCGTCTGGGGAAGGTTTAATGGCCTCTCGGATATGGGACTAGTCTTATTTTCCTTATTATTTAAGCCAGCAAGCATTTACAGAAGCCAGAAATAGCAGGGTTAAAATTTCAAACAGCAGTTTTTATATAAGATGGATGCTTCAAATAAAATATATCTAAAAAAACAAAAACCAACAAACCACAAAAATCAACCTCAGTAAGAAGACGCTCAGGCAGGTCTTTTATTCAAGCAGGGAAAATGAGGAACAGGAACAGGGAAGACATTAAGACCACACTCAACAGTGACAGGAAGGGCAGAGGGGAACACCAGCCTCTGGGCCTGTGGTCCAAAGCTCTGCTCTTCAACCTGAGCTATAAGACAGGAGAGAATGCATCCAGCCCTCTAACTGCAGAAAGCTTCGGTGTCATTGGTGATGTGTGCCGGGCACTGAGCTAGATGTAGAGGGGAGTTGGTATGGGGGAATCTGGCCATGGAGGGCCCGCTCAAAGTCCCTAGGACTAGACCGACGAGGAAACCAGGGGGTCCAGGGCAGTGTGGTGAGGACTGTGGCAGGGGCTGGGTGCTTTGGAGCAGAGAGGGAGGATGTCAGTCAAAGGTCCTCCTGAACCCCCTCCCTCTTCTGGATCTTCTTCGCCCACCTCTCTTCCTCTGCCCTCCCTCCTGAAGTTTCCTCCAGCTCGACAACTCTTGCGTCATGTTGCAGTTTTACTCAGACCCACACCCAGGAAAAACACTCGCATTTGTCACAGTGATTATTTTGCACACGCTGGGGTTGTCTTCTCCATAGCATCTCCTCATTGCCAAGACCCAGATCTCTTGCTTTCTTTTTATC